GACTTTGGGGACCAGGTAAAACCCCAGTGAAGTACAGTTTGGTGTGGTTGCTCATCAATTCTGATGCATCACAAAGCTTACGTCTGCATCTGTCTTTGTTATGATTCTGTTAAGATGCTGAGCTGGCTCCAGAAGCTTGTTTTGCCAGGCAAGGAAACTGTAGAAGGGCTTTGTTTAGCCCAAAATGTTCAAACCGGTACGTAATCAAAAGCCAAAACAGCCCTATAATCGTGTATATTAACATTGTGGTTTTGTTGGTTTTTGGGATCATTGCCTTTTGATTTTTGCTTACAGAGAACAATCCTGTGGGACGCTTTTCTGCACCGGTGGCTGGGAGTTTCCAGTGACTTCCAGGAAGTCGTTCTACAAAGTAGGAACTGGAGACATATGCAATGAGGCAACGATGAACCCTGAAGACAACTACCCTCCAGATCTGGGCATGGTGCCTACTGGTACCAAGTGTGGCCACAACATGGTAAGACAACTGTTTGCTGTTAGCTGTTAGCTGTTAGCTGTTAGCTGTTAGCGTCAACCAAACTTCCGTGGACTCCAGATCTGTGAACTGTGTCAATGCCTTTCAGGTGTGCTACAATCAACGGTGTCAAGATGTCAAAAACATCAAAGTGTATGGAACAAATGACTGCTCAGCCAAATGCAACAACCACGGGGTGAGAAATATGTTAACCTCAGTGCGTTGTCTCATGATCTGCCCATGGCAAGCCCTATGTTGTTACATCAGAGTGGGAGAGTCAAATGGCAATTATGCGGTTGGGGGTTTAAACACAAGATTAACCACTGTCACATATCATGTGAACTATTTATGTAAAATCAATAGTGCTCTGAGAAGTGATACAGTATCACAAAACGTTATATCACAATACTTACATGTTTCCTTCTACTGATATCCAAACTGACTGTGAGTGTGACCTCTGGCAGGTTTGTAACCATGAGAATAAGTGTCACTGCGACCCCGGTTGGGCCCCACCTTACTGCGATGTGGAGCACTCAGAACTCCCCGAAGGTATTGTACAACTCTTAATATGCTTGACCTTTAATGGCCATGCTTCATACCCGGCTGTTTGTGTCTGTTTCACGTCTGCTCTGCTTGTCACCAAGATTTAATACTTGAAATAGATTTCTCATGGACTCTGAAACAACAGTGCTCTGTTCTGATGAACACTGACTTAATGTAATTCCCCAGTCAGTCAGCACAAATGCAGTAATGATGTTACAGTGCATTCTGTTTCCTGAGCGGGTGACGTACTTTCTTACGTCCTTATCCTTGAGCAATATAAGGGAATATTGTCACAATCAATGTGTGTGTTTGTTTGTGTGTGCAGAGACAGGTCCGAATATAATGATAATTGTGCCCGTGGGTGTTGGCTTACTCCTGCTGTCCGTCTTGGTTATCGGGAGTTTGATGTGTTTCACCAAAAAACGGCGACCCAAAAAGAGGTACAGAAAAAATGTTTTCCTTTCTTTAAATCTCTGTTTGATTAGTTTGTACACTCAGCCACATAGACGAACACTGTCCGTCTTGTCCATCTTTAATTTCAACTTCTGTTTGTGTTTCTTTGTAGACGCTTCCAATCTACCTCAGGACAAACCAACCCGTTGTTTCGGACAAGTGGTGCTCGAGGCAGCCCTCGTATTGGATCCACACACATCAGCCAGCCTACATTTGTGGAGTCTTCAGCCACTCAGGCCTGTAAACCTCTGTCCTCTCCTACCGTCAGACCATACACTGGAGCAGTGAGGCCCAGCAGAGCCGCTCCAGAGGTAAGCGTAGTGATAGATAAACACTGTATGTCTAAGCTTTTTTTGTCTATATCAGACATGATATTTGAATCTGTGGCAACTGTGAAATCATGTCATTGTGGTGATTAGTTTTGGGTGACTGACCTAAATTTGAAGCTACAAAAGCAGCAAACATTTTCCTGCTTAAAGCCACATTTCCACCAAACACTTTTGGTTTAGTCCCCTCAAAACCAGTACATATCTCGTAAACCCTTGATCTGAAAATCTAAATATAGGCAGGGTTGTTAGCAGATGATTGCAGCGTCACTGCTTCTCCCAGCTCTTGTTGCATTTCCTCTTCCAAAAAGAACAGGCTGGAGTGTTACAGTCTCTTTCACAGTCAGCGGAATATTTGGGTTTGTGGTTGAGTCCTTGTACAGCGTGAGGATTGTTTCTTGATCAATGGACTGCTGTGTTTCTAGCTCCACCTTTTAGTATCACATCAGTGTGCTAGGTACCTCAATAAAGGGGTTACAAAAAACAGGACTGAATGGATCTGTTCTGTTGATACCATTCACAACTTTCGACTGAAAGCGCAAAAATAATCGAGACCAAGACTGAAGCAGCCTGTTTGGTGGAAATGAGGCTTTAGTGTCCCTGAGCCACACACTGACAACCAATGAGCTCTGGTGATGCTTTCCTAAATTCATAATGAAGCCATTATTGTAATCAAGCTGCAAAACCCAGAAAAGATTATGGTTAAAAAGACTAATCAAGCTTCTCTCATCTCTGCTTTCATCCCTTACAGCCACCTAAGAAAGTGTCAGCTCTACCGCAGCCTTCAGTGATTCAGCAGGTAATCTGAGCTACTGTTTTGTCTTCATTTCAATGTAGAGTTGTTTATTTGTAGTGTTGCTGATGTTATTGTTTAGATGTCTAGTGCTTCGACCACTAAATAAATGTTTGTCTTTAGGTTATGAGGCCGTTCATGCAGCCTGTTTCAAGCAAGCCAGTCTACACTGAGGTAAAACTGCATACAGATATGTCTCATTTTCTTTTTAAGGACACTATTTGCTTTGTTAAAGTGAGTGTTAATGGTTGTTTTTTTGTCTCTTGTTGTTAGACTAAGCCTCTACCTCCATCCAGACCTCTGCCACCACTTACAACAAAACCTGTAAGTGACATTACTTTCTACCTACAGTTTTCATATGTTTGCAATCACACATTTAACTGGTCTTTGCCACGTCTGAAATGTGAACATCTGCTCTCTTAAGATCACAAAGCCAAAGCCTCCGATGCCTCCAGCGAAGCCGAAGCCCTCCGCAGTCCAGTCTCCACTGCCACACACTCAGCTGGTAAGTATTCAGTCAGCAGCAGAGTCAACCACACTTTCCTAAATCCTCCAAAGCCTGGCAGTTGGTATTCAGACATTCCTAATGTCATTCAAGGCATTCACGTTTATAAAGACGTCTGTGGTTTTGGACATTGTCCCAACATAGCAGTGTAATGAACAAGCAGTGGCTCAGTGTTTGCGAGTTAGCGAGCACATAAACTTCTCCGGGCCACTGCTGAATACCCTAACTAAATAAAGCTTATCAGTTGTGTGTTTTTTAACAGCATTTGTTTTTCTAGCTTGCAGGGAGATCCGCCCTGATGCCCCCCACCAGGCCCAGATGACAGAGGGAACAATTCAGCTTCATGTAAACACTGAGATCCTCTAACAGAGGACACTGTCCCACCTAAGAAGGACCAAGAAATCCTCTCAGGAGACGCTCGTCTGCTTTAAAGTGGAAACAAGATCCACTGATGGATCAGCAACAATAAGTGACAGAGCTTTTCTGTCAGTTATGGTCTCCCTGAGGATTACCGCCGTCTGTGTCTTGCTTATGTAAGCCTTCAGTATGTTGATGACAACCTGAAGCTGTGATTGACAGACTCAACTTCTGTGCTTTCTAAATGACAAATGGCTACGCTGCCACGATCATGTTTTTTTTTTCTTTTTAAGGGAAATGTCTCTCTGCCTTGATCCTTGGATATGTGAAGACTTTAAGAGGCAATTGCACTATCGATGCTGTAACTGTTTTACTAAATGTTACGATTCCCTCACATGGGTTTTGGTACTGCTTTTCTAAGAAATAATGTTGTTAAGGGATTTTAAAATGTGGCACCAACGTGGGCACTTTATAGATTGTTTTAATTAAGGATGACAGCAGTTGTGACTTTTTTTATACTAACCTAGGTATGCTTGATTTTGTGAGACTGAATTATTACATGATGCTGTTTTGTTTTAAGTGTTGACTTGATACATGTTGATTGTAATTGTTCAAGAGATTTTATATTGCATATTCTATGCAGCAGACTTTCACTCATAACGCCAATGATTGTGGTCTTTCCTTAGTGACTGTTCTTTACTTATCAAAGGAGGTTTTTTTACCCTCCCTGAGGCTACAAATATTTGTCCTTGAGCCTCCCTGAGTGACTGGCGGAAAATGTATGACCCTCCCTCCACCAAAAATTAGTTATAAGATTTTTTAAAATTTGCTCTTAGATGTTTGAAAGTTAAAAGTTAGACTTTGAAACCTGGAGTTGAAAAAACGCCTCAGTTTTTTACTCTTGTCGTACACATTTTTTAATTAAATTTTACATGAGACATATAGAATAAAGCGATTTTGATGAAATATGACTATTTTAAGCTTAGATTTGTTTTTTGACGTGTTCAAGGACAGTTGGATATTTGAAAATCCAATGATAATTTGGGTTTTTACAGTTTCTGGCTATGATAAATGGTGACATTTTGGCAATTTTTAAAGGAAGCATGCCTTCCAAACGAAGGCGGATTGTTTTCGCGTATTTTATTTCGATTTTTAAAGAAAACATGCCTTCTGTGTGTTTGCAAGATAACCTTCTAAACACGCCTTCCAAACCCAAGGCATATTTTCTTTAAAAATTATTAGTTAAATAAATCCAAAATACAGCCATTTAAAGTTAATATAACCCTACCATCAACCACCCCTCCCCCCCCATAAGTAACGAACAGTCTCTTACAGTGAGGATTCTGCCATGATTTTTCCTGCAAACTTTGAACTGAAAATTTATTTAGAACCCCTTCCTATTTATTGAGAACTTCTTTTGTCTGTAAAATGGAGCTTACAATAAAAGAGAATCATTAAAATCAATGTTTCACTCATTATTCTCCTCCTTTTATTACACATGCAGACGCCATCATCTTTGTTGCCGTGCGCGGTTGCCTAGCAACGCCTCAAACAAACTGTTGTCAAGGGAAGCTAACAAGCTAGTTCATTAGCTTTGAAAACTGTCCAGAAACCGATGTCGCTTTAAGAATAATGAACCAAGAACTGAACGAAGAAGAACTTCAGGACTTATACGCATGGATAGACAAAATATCTCTGTCCCGGCCCAAGAGACACATCACGAGAGACTTCAGTGACGGAGGTAGTTAACCTAGCTTTCAGCTTTGCTAACAGCCGACAGGGACGTAGTTAACTAAACAAAGAAAAAGAAATGTGTCATGTAATACTGTCCCCAGCCACAATAATCTTGTTTGGCTGTTTACATAGTTTATCATCTCAAATGTGTGTTTATTTATTTTTATTTACATGACCTGACTGTGTCTCTCTGGTGAACCCTCTGTAGTGATGGCTGCTGAGGTTGTCAAATATTTCTTCCCAAAGCTTGTTGACCTGCACAACTATATTCCTGCTAACTCCACACAGCAGAAGCTCAGTAACTGGAACCTTCTCAACAGGCAAGATACAATCATTTTTTATACATTTGTTTATTTAAATTGCATGTGATCTAATAAAGGAGGCTGCACCCATGAAGTGGAGACTTCCAGATAATAGGCTGTTGAATAGCATAGAAAGCGAGTGCATGAGGGGCATGTTGCCTCTGAGCTGGAAAGATTTCACAATCTGACTTGGTCAGTATGTCCACATCTCCCTAGAACATTCTTACACAAACACACACTCAAGAAAAAGCAGTGTTGGGAAGCTTCTTTGAAAGCATTTGCAAATTGAGTTCACACTGGAAGAAGCTGAACTACAGCAAAGTTTAAAAGCTACAAAGAAAAAGTAGTTCAAACTACTTAAAAAAAGTGCCTACTTGTTAACGAGTCATATAAAAACCCACTATATATAAAACATATAAATAAACACCAGTATTCATGAGAACGTGCAGGAATGTCGTTGAAACTAGAGTCCAGGTGAGGGTATTGTACCAGGCAGGATGACTCAGTTAGCCAGGTTACTTCTAAAATAGCATGCAACATCTTCTCTGAACATGTAATAATGAATGGTAGTAATCAATCGTAATGACAAATTGTGGTCAAAGGGAGTTTAATAACAGTAGAGATGCAATGGTAGAATAAAAATAAAAAGAATAATTCCTGCTATGGCCCAAAATTGTTTGTAGTTTCATGGGTAATCCAGGGCACAGCCTTACACATTTTAGTTTGGGCTGAATGTCATTAAAACTATTTGAGATACATTATTTTGTTGTTTTATTCTAACAACATGCACATCTCTGCTACAAATAAACGGTTGTTGTTTTTTCTAGAACTTACATATCTTCTACAATTGCAGTGAGAAATGGTGGAAGTGAAATGTTACTACATGTCCCATGGGTGGGGTTAATTGTAACAGGCAGACAGTTAGTCATAACACTTGCTGGAAAAGTCTGTTTAACTTGATTAATTCAATACAGTTCTATCTGTATACTGTAGGTCTCCATCTGCATCAGGGGAAGGACAGGTATCCATCCATCTGTCAGTCTATCATCGATACTCAATGGTTGGACCCATATATGTAAATAGATTGGGTAACCTAGTTCACATGTCAAAATATGAGTATTGAATGTATGAATACTGACAAGATTGTGAAACTGTGGGTCAATAAATTACCTGATGAATTAAAATACTAAGTATAACTTATTTAATTAAGGACATTAGTTCAAACTGAACAGAAGTTTGAAGTGTAAAAATAGAGAAAATGTGCTATAGGAGGGTTTCCACTGTGTGGAAGTTTTATCAAGCCGAGCTAACACTTGCTGGGAGTTGGTTACATAAAAGACGGTGCTATGTTTTAGGCAACAGGACAGTTATTACGATGATACATGGTTGGATTCGGTGACTTACATACAGTCAGGTCCATAATTATTTGGACAATGATACAGTTGTCGTCATTTTGGCTCTGTACACCACCACAGTGGGTTTTAAATGAAACAATGAATACCTGCTTAAAGTGCAGACTCTCAGCTTTCATTTAAGGCTTTTTTCAAAAATGTAGTATGAACCGTGTAGGAATTACAACCATTTCTTCACACAGTCCCCCAACTTTAAGGGCTCATAAGTATTTGGACAAACTAACATAATCATCAATTAAACAGTCAGTTTTAATACTTGGTTGCAAATCCTTTGCAGTCAATGACTGCCTGAAGTGTTGGACACATAGACATCACCAGATGCTGGGCTTCTTCCCTGGTGAAGCTCTACCGGCCCTTTACTGCAGCCGTCTGCACTTCCTGCTTGTGTTTTGGGTGTTTTGCCCTCAGTTTTGGCTTCAGCAAGAGAAATGCATGCTCAATTGGATTCAGGTCAGATGATATGACTTGACCATTACAGAACATTCCACTTCTTTGCCTTAAAAATGTCTTTGGTGGCTTTTGCAGTATGCTTCAGGTCATTGTCCAACTGCACTGTGAAGCATCATCCAATGAGTTTTGAAGCATTTAGTTGAATCTGAGCAGATAATGGTGCCCCAAACACTTAAGCTTTCATCCTGCTGCTCTTGTCAGCAAGAGAAGACTTCACTAGAATAAATACAGAGGGTTTATCACAAGATGCAAACCATTGGTTAGCCTTAAAAATGGAAGGCCAGATTAGAGTTTGTCAAAAACCATCTAAAAAGCCTGTACAGTTGTGGAACAGCATACTATGGACAGATAAAACAAAGATCAACTACCAGAATGATGGGAAGACAAGAGAAGGAAGAAGGGAAGGAACTGCTCATGATCCAACGCACACCACGTCATCAGTGAAGCATGGTGGAGGTACTGTTATGTCATGGCCATGTATGGCTGCCAGTGGAACTGGTTCTCTTGTATTTATTGATGATGTGACTGCTGACAAGAGCAGCAGGATGAAAGCTGAAGTGTTTGGGGCTACATCATCTGCTCAGATTCAACCAAATGCTTCAAAACTCATTAGACGATGCTTCACAGTGCAGTTGGACAATGACCTGAAGCATACTGCAAAAGCAACCAAAGACATTTTTAAGACAAACAAAAGGAATGTTCTGTAATGGTCAAGTCATATCATCTGACCTGAATCCAATTGAGCATGCGTTTCTCTTGCTGAAGCCAAAACTGAGGGCAAAACACCCAAAACACAAGCAGGAAGTGCAGACGGCTACAGTAAAGGGCTGGCAGAGCATCACCAGGGAAGAAACCCAGCATCTGGTGTGACCCTGTGTAACCACTTAAAAAGTCCATGTTAGAATTCACCCCGCGTTAGGTTGTGCCCCGTGCTCCCCTAGATAACTACACAAAAAATGGCAAAAAGGTAATTTAACTACTTAATCGTTTGCAAGTATGAATGTTACTGCAAGTTACTGCAAAATGTAGTTGAACTACTAGTTTAATTACATGTGGTTTACTTGTTCACCACTAAAACAGACATACAGTTACAATCCCAATTAATATATCTTAATCAGCAGTGAATGCTTGAACTGTTCAATAACTCTGCTACAAACACAGAGTCAGAACCTTTGTTAGGCACGACCACAGGCCTCTGCATCTGGTCGTGAGAACCAACCCAACACACACCCACTCATCCTCTCCCAAGCCACTGATATGGCTCATAGCCAGCTACAGATTTATGGGTCTTCACTGGAAACACATTGGCCCCTATGGTGTTTATCATCATCATCAGTTAAAACTTTCAACCTGCTGCTCCTATTGTAACCGGTTTGGTTGTATTCTTAGTTATTTAATAGCTTTATTACAAACATCTGGATTTTTTTTACTGTGGGCAGGAAGGTGTTTTCCAAGCTGAACTTCCACGTGCCCGAGGAGACAGTGAAGAGGATTGTACTGAGCACTGCCAGAGTGATAGAGCCTGTGCTGAGCGCCCTCAGGGAGAAGATAGACAAAAAACTGGAGCACACCACAGAGAATATACTGGTGTGTACTGTATGTTTAAGCATGTGTGCGCTTAGAGACATACATACTATAGGTCCCTTTTTGTCTGTTTAAATGCTAATGACAAACTAAATAGCCCTCTGTCTTCCAGGAAAATAACCACATTTTTAACAAAACTTTCTTTTGAACCCAGGATTTGGAATACTACGACACCAGAAACCAGGAAATACCTCACACAGGTAGAGTTATTCTGTCACTGCATTTACACAAACCCTATCCTTACTCCACAAATTTGTGAAATGTTATCTTTAGGCTGACATGTCTGTCGTCATATTTGACCCTACTTCACAGGAAATAGAGATTTCTGCAGAAGCTGCAACAAGCAGTTAGTGTGATTAATGCTGCATTCATGTGTCCCTTGGATGGCCCCACTTTCTGAGCTGTGAAATTGTTGCTCCGACTTGTTGTGTTCATGCTAATAAACAACTTTTCTAACTAATCTAGGTCACTCAACACAGACAGCAACTAACGGTTGTAATTACATATGAGCAATAAATTGACACACAAAATGTGAATTAGTAAATTTATTACTATTGATCAAAGATTTACTTTTGTCCACCATGTTTCTGCATATATGTGAATTGACGTGAATTGTTCCAGCGGGGAACTTATTTTTCCAATTTTTCCGACATCACATGAATGCAGGGTAAGTCAGGGAAATAGGTAAATCAACCATAGACTGCTGAATTATCAAGAATGTGATGACTGTGTCTTGACCTTATGTCTTGAGCATGATATGTCCTTATGTAAGTGTCATTTGGGAAGCGTATTAGCTGACACAGTCCGTCTAACTTTGACTACTGAGTCTAAAGTTTGTTTGGAAGTTTGTCACAGGGAGGGAAGTGGATGTGTAATTTTAGACTATTTTTAATAATGTTGTATCTACTGGTCAGCTGACAATCACAAAATCAGCATATTTAGGACAAACTGATGTGTTTTTTCTGTCTGAGAGGACACTGTTGATGCTGTTAGGGCTGATTCTGCCTCTGAAATTACATTATTTCCAGGATCTTCTCTGCTTCCTGCCCTGATATTGTCAGTGTGTGTCCTGCTAACATCTCGCAGTTAGCACTAATCTCTCCCACAGATAGTGGCGACCACACAGACACAAACATACCTACGTTTAACAGCATCAGACAGCACTGATTAGAGAATGCCACGACCTTTAGCGAGTGAATCGGCGACGTGTCTCCCTTCCGTTTCCCACACCTCATCCGTCCCTGAAACAACCCTGTTAGGCTGACCTCAGGCCAGCGCCTCCTCCCTGTGCTCTTTCCTCCTCCATCTACACCCCATCCGCTATCAGACACAGCTCAGGTCCACATATCAGCTCCCAACATCACCAGATGGCCTTTATCGCCGGCCTGAGCTCAGCACTGCAGGACTTAAAGGCCTCCTCATTTTTCTCTTTCTCTGTCTTTTAATCTTACTTTCCTGTTTCTCCCTCTGTCTGCTTACGGTCATCGTCTATCCACCCCTCCTCTGTGTCCGTAAGATTTATTGGATGAATCCCTGCAGGTTTCTAACAGCACCAGAGTTTCTAGTCATCATGCGCTCCCATTGAATTTGAAGAAATGTAAATAGCTTTGTTTTTTTGTCCTCAGAAATTCCTCAGGCTGAAGCGAAACTTGTGGCTCATCTGGCGGGAGAGGGGTTGATAAAAGATGAAAAGAGCAGACTAAAGCACGGGTATGACCAAAATGTTACTTTTAATGTTACTACAGTGACTCAGAAGCAGTGTTTACAATAATTATATGTTGTTGTTGTTTTTTATTGTATAGAAAACCACAGCACGCAGCACAGTTTTACTCAAACATGGACCCTTCTTTACGGCTATTCCTGCAGGAAAAAGAACAAGCGGTCATGGCTTTGCAGGAGACCGTGGAGGTATCACACACACACACACACACACACACACACACACACACACACACACATACATGCTTGAATCCTGGAAACACTCAGCTGACTGGCTGAACATCAGCAAACAAAGTTTTTTTTTCCGTTTTGATGCCCTGTAGGGCAACAGCTCTGTCATACATGTAATATTGTTGCAGTGTGTGTGTGTGTGTGTGTGTGTGGGCGTGTGTGTGTGTGTGTGTGTGTGTAAGTGAGAAAGAGGCATTTAGGTGTGTGTGTGATACATATGCGTCATGAGCTGTGTCAGCAGTGGTTGGTGAGTCAGTATCTGCTCAGCGGATATAACTTTTTTTCCTTCTCCTCCCGTGGCCACATCTGCACGTTAAGAAAGAACAAACGTGCAAACTTCTTTTACCTCACCAGGATGTTTTCATCAATGAGATAATTCACAGGTTTAGAAAGTAACCTTACCTAATTAACCACATCCTGCTGCATCTCTGTGTGTGTAGATCCTGCAGATGAAGGTGAACAGGTTGGAGCATCTGGTTCACCTGAAGGATATGCGTATTGAAGATCTGACGCGGCATCTGGAGACATACAAAGCAAAAGGCAACACACGCTGATACAAACATATACACAGAGACTTTGTGATAGTACCTCTGCGTTCTCACCCTGTCACTTCAACTCTAATAAATGCTTAACTTCTTAAAAGCTTTAGTCAAGGCAAAAGATCTTTTAATGTATAGATTCTGAGATTATTGTCCTACCTGCTAAAATACATTACACCTGTTGAATGCACAAGTGGGATTACACGTGTTATGTCTTAATACTTTGCTGTTTTCTAAGTAAAGTATGTTTGGTAATTTATCTAATTTGGCATTGAAATATTTTTAAAATCATGCTTTAACAAGGGCAGTGCAACAACTCTCTATGATACAAATATGTTTGTAAATGTCTCTGTGTTTAAATCGTATCTATTCAGATTCTATGGTAAATGATTTATGAGAATTTGAGTTGTTTAATACAGATAGTTGCTTCTTTGTGAGGAGGAGAATGTGATTTTCATGTGTTTATGTATCCACAGTCGTCTCTGACCTTCTGTGCCTTTACACAGCCTATGACCTCTGACCTCCAAGTGCTCAATAAATCAGCTAACCTCTGTAACTTTCCAAACTGTGTTTTCAATCATGAGCAGAATCTAGCAAATCAGCAGTATCAGAGATCTGAAGCATTGGAAATAACCAAATTACGTTATATATGAGGTGTAAGGTTTATACACTGTGACTGTCACTTCCTTTCAATTCTAAAATGACATCATTCATTTTCTTTGCAACTCTTGTTCCTATGTAAATGCAGTAATGAATGTCATCATTTTCTAGTTTCAGAATGCATGCACAACGACGCTGACAGATGACCAAATATAGTTAAGCGCAGCTGGTACACACACCGCCTTTGTTCCGCTCAAATATAAAGTTAACTTCCCTTTCTGAGTATTAGGTCATACCAGTGAGATGGGGCTGGGCGGGTCGCTCCATATTGTGTTGTCTTTTATCTTAATCCCCCTCTGCAGGTGTAGAATAATAAGAGATAGGCGACCTGCTGAGCTGTATCAGGAGCTGCTCATCTTCTCCAGCTGCCTGCTGCTGTAACTGAGTTCTGTCCTGTTGATCACCTCTGCATCACCTAATCAATCACCTTTATCAAGCTTACAGCTGTATAACACTGAGGTACAAATAATAACATCACTTAGTTTATTCAAAAGACATATTTGTACCATGGACTCCTGTCTTATAACTGTCTTCAAACTGTTCTCTTTTGTGAAGCACTTTAAACTTCAGTAGAGTGTGTTAAATGAAACTGGATGGAGACTAACAGCTAATCAGCTACAATCAGTGGTGTAGTGTTAGCTGAAGAGGTGGGTGTATTACTGGGTGGAGGAGGTGCTTATACTCCTCTAAATATTCAAATGGCTTTTTGGCTGATATGTGGGTATGCTGTCAGCAGCCAGAAAAAGAGGAGGGTATACCGCATATACCTGTATATACCTGCATATACCCTCCACTACACAACTGGCTACAATAGCTTCATTCATTTTGGACTCTCCAGCTCTCCCCTCACAGGTCAGCACTGTGGATGCAGCTTTCTGTTGGTTAACAGTACAAATTTAGTTTTCTGTGTTCACCAAAGTTGAAAAGTGGTATGTGCCCCTGCAAAAATGATCACAAAAGGTACCCGTTTTACATGGCATAACCAGGCCTAAACTCAAGGGCCTTGTTCAGACTGCCATATACAGATTGTATCCAGATTGATTTTATAAAATCTGTACAAGAAAAAAAAACACAGGAAACCCATGAAATTTTTGCAAGACGGATCCAAAACACATTTGGAGATGAATTTCTACAGATGCATGTCAGTCCGGCTGATCTGGCTGGTCAAATCGGATTTCAAAGTGTCAAATCCAGAGTGAGCAGAATACATGCTGCTGCTAGCAGAGCGCCAACAGTCCATGGAGAGACACCAAAATAAATTGAAATAAATAACCGCGATTTGAGGGTGAAAATAATGAACCTCAATTTATCGTGCCTCCGCACTGGAAAGCCTTGTCACCATTATTGTAGATGCTGATGCCTACATCGTTACCATGGCAACCCATACAGATAGGTTGGTGATGTCTGGACACACAAATCCAATCTGATAACTTGCAGGTAACAGTGTGGTCTGATTTAGAGAAACATCAGATATGCCTGCAGTCTGAATGTAGCCAGAGTTAACCCTGATGACATCATCAGAGTTACTTTGTCAGAATAAAGCTCCCTTCAGAGCCACAGAAGACTAAATATAATTGTTTCACTGGCTGAGTAATACTCATTATGATGAGTAAGCTGACCTTTATGTGTAAAATCAATGGAGTGCCCCTTTAAAGTCTGACTGATAATTCCCAACAGGAGGTTAATCAAGAACAAAGCACTAATAAGTTGATGAAAACATTCATTAGTGACACATATGCAACACAGAATCAGCTTTAGATTTTGTAGCTGACTCGAGTAATGACTACAATATCCATCCTGAGAGTCACCAAAGATAACATAGAGGAGTGCGGAGAAAAGTGCTGAGAAATAGCAAAGCTATTGCTCTTTGTATGAGTGTGTGTTTTGCACCAACACACACACACAGGATAGGAATGTGAGAGAAAACTGCAGAACAGAGCAGCTACTGATGATGGCGCTGACTGCAGCTGATGAATCATATTCTGCTGTTTGGGGAGAAGATTTACAGGCCGACACGCAGAGATGAGGGGCCACACCCTTGAGTCTCGGGGGAGGGACAGATCCAGGCCGGAGTCAAGGCCAGATGGAACCTGCAGGATCTAATGATCAGGGACAAAAGGAAGGAAAGAGAAGTGCTGGCTCATCCAGGAAGCAGAAACCCTGACCTTGACACCACTTCCTGGGAGGGGGAGGGCTTTAAACTCGCTGGTTGTGCACCCCTGACACTAAATCAGACCACCCATTAAAATGAGCCCAGACATCCACAAAAGAAACCCATCCAAAATAAACAAGATGAGGATGAGCGAAGTTTATTTTCACCCACAAACATGCTTTATGATCGTATTTCTCACAAATTCTGACATCAGGGAAATCTGGGGTCAGACTGTAACTAAACACCCTCCTTCAGAGAGCAAAGACTGAAAGTTTGGCTGTGAAAGGATCTGTAAAAGGACGGAGAGTTCATAAGAGGAAGCTATCCCTCATCTGGTCATTCCGACAGTGGTCACACGCACTTTGAATGCTTCCTGGAAAGCCTTTGTGAACAGCTGACTGGCCTCACTGAGGGCAGGACTTGAGGTTTGGAGTCTGTCTCTTGGGTGGACTATTTTACAGACTCAACAGACAAACACGTCTTTATTTGTGATGTTTACAACACATTATGTGGGTTAGAACAACAGGGACTGTGATAGATTGTGTATGTATATTCAGTTAATGTTCACTGAATCATCCTCGTGTCACCACAGTCACCCCGCCGTCTAAATAAGTGACTCGCCAACATATGCACATTGTGTGAAGTCTTACTTTTTTGACCACAATATTTCGTTTAATCTAAATGACAGTGAATCTGTATAGGCTCAAATAAGATTCTGATTTTGTGAAGCAACGTTCAGAAGAAAAAATAATAATTAATCACAATTTCAAAACTTGTGAAAAACTTCTAAACCAGAACCGGGATTTAAGTTTGTAAATGTAAAGAAAACAGTTGTCAAAACCAGGGTCAAAATCCAAACTTGTAACTTCAGTATGACTGCATGCGAGGTTAAAGTGTCCCACAGGGAATCGGAACTTTCACAGAGTTTTCTTCTTTAAAGGAACAGTGTGTAAGATTTATGAGGGTTTAGTGGCATCTAGTGGTGAGGATTGCAGATTGCAACCAGCTGAAACTTCTCCTGGTTAGAATTCCTTCAGTGTTCATTGTTTAAGAGGTTTTAACTGGGAGCCAAATTATCTGCCGAGGACTCTTTCTCTCCTAAAATGGACCAGGTGATTGAAACTGGTAAAAACAGACTAATGTAGTTTTATGTTACCTGTTAGTCTTTCTTCTACGCTGTTCTGCATGTCTGAGATGGGCCATTAGTCCGGTACTTGCAGTACTTTTTTCTCTGATAACTTAAGATCCAGACATTCATTCATTTTTACCAGGAGATTAATTATCAGCAGAGGTCTCTTACTCTCCAAAACAAAACAGACTGGTTTAAACCGATAAAAACACCAGTCCCTTTTACACTGCGATTATGCTACCTCGATTTTCTGTCTAAAAGGTTCAATCACAGAATGGGAGGCCAAAGTTTTCTGGCCTTTAAAGCGACATCATAGGTAGTAACAGCACTGAAACTAGCTCTGTATAAAAAGGACAGCCATCAGGATGGGTGTGATGTGTCATGCATGTGACCCGCCGCGGGAGATTTTAAAAAATAGCTGTTAGCAGTTAGCAGCTAACTCAAAGAAGAATAGCAGCTGAAACTGCGCACATTGGGAAAACAATGAGGTTCAGGAGCTCCTTACCCTCTGAGCAGAGGTCAAGATCAGCCGCGATATAACAGGGACGGTGATTTTTATTGCCATGTTAATGTCATTGTTATTGTTTATCAAGCGCTGCGGTTGTCTATGTTATGTGTCACACTAGAGGCTGATGCCAAGGTGTTACACGTCATGCCCGTCACACTTCTTTTGCTTCCACGATGCCAACATGCTGTCTAAAATCTGCTACAGTGGCTAATGCAAAAACACAAATGGCTCTGTCTAGAGCCAATGTTTGGTCTGTCCATTCTGTTTTAGTAGAAAAAACATGGCGGTTCAACATGGCTCCCTACGTAGATGTAAACAGCTCATTCTAAGGTAGTAGTGAAAATACACAAGGAAACATACTTTTTTTGTCCCAGTTCTGCTAAAATATTGTCCTAAATCTACACTTGACCTTTAAATTTGTGCTCAGATACTAATAGTGCTTTTCCTCATTCTTTGTGTACATAAATCCTGACATTCAGTGTATTTCTACAACTACAGGTATTTTTTTACACATTCACACACCTTCCCTTATTTGAGCCCATATCTTTGTTTATTCTTTTTTTTACTATGTTAAATTCATCTTATTTGTCACTCAATCACCACCTGGTAAAAATCAGGCTCAGAAATGATACCAGAGCATTTAGTATTTAACATGATGTTAGGACTCCCCCTGTTGGCAACCAAGTGTACTGCACAATGTCCACACAAAGCAACACAGCTGGAGAAGAGAGATACCAAAATAGGTTTTATTTTACATAAGAACATTGTCAAAACTTGAAAACATTTTTGCATATAAACCTTTTAAAACAAGGAGACAATGTTTAAATTTCACAGATTGTACAAAATATCGACAAAAAAATCATTTTCATGAGTGATTCATACCCCTCTTTGCATCTTTATTTGAGCCCACCACCAAAGCAAATGCCGAGTGCAGCCTTTCACTGTCATTCATAGGTCAAGTAAACGTCACGACATCTTCCAAACACTCATAGTGTCCACTGCTTATTCTGTCTTTCTCAGCTAGAGTCTATGATGAGGCCATACAGTTCAGTATGTACAAACAAGCTCTTAAATAGTCTCACAGTTAAGTTCAAATGGAGCTTTTAAGTTTATTAGAATCACTGAATCTTTAAGTCTGGGGTGACCCATTATTATTTAAGGCTTGCATTCTGAATAGTGGAAGTATCATATAGTAGAGCCGAACAAAATACAAAAGCTTAAACACAATAAAAACTAGCACCAACTTGCATCTTATTTAAGCCCAAGCTCGATCAACATTCATTCTTTAATCAGAGCAAAGCTTGTTGTTGTGTTGTACTGGAATTCATATCATCACACAAAACTCATCAAAGGTTAAACAAAATTCTCACTTAACAGTAAGTCACCGCTGTATTTAGGAGCTGTGTGTTGCCAGACTGAAAACTTTGCCGTCGATCAATTCTTTAATTACAGAAAAATGTAAACATTGACTGTGGAAAGGAACTTCATATTATTCTGACAGACCGACATGCTCATAATATTCAATGTCACAGACACCCACTGTAGATAGATGGTGCATCACAATGGTTACGGCGCACTAAAAATGTCACCTTAAGTATTTCCAGAAGACACAAAGTTTCATTCTAGTGAAATTAAATCATTGCTTTGCTTATTTTTTAGTCAAATAGTTATTTTCTTTTCACTGTTTCCATTTGTGTGTCACCAGATTTAATTAAGAACTTTTATTTTTTCTGGCACAATTTTTGATTGACTTTTAAGGGCATACGCTCTGTTCAACAGGGTGCTGCAGGGATGTTTATTTGTAGGCCAGCCTGGAAGTTAGAATCGCCCTGGTTCCCTTGTCACAAAGCTACTGGGATTTTTCAATTGGATTATTGTATGAAATAAGCTCTGTGGCAAACAACCGTTTATGATACTCACATGTCTTGTGCAGCAAGATAATCCTCATAAATGAACACGGTTTTATGATTTTTGAAGCATAAATGCAATCACCAGAAGTAAAAAGCTTAAGTTAGGCTATGACCTCATCATCACTACCACCGCAAGGCTGTAAAGCCGTGTTTGGTGTGATGACGTTCTGTAGTCTTATTTAGTCACATGCTAACGAATCCATTTTTTAAGACATGTAACAGCTGTTTACTGATGTATTTCATGTCATAGAACAAAATGTGAAACCATGTTAGTTTGAATTAACCACAGACCTTGTTTCAGGCATTTGATCCAACCACCACCACCACCACGAAAAAAAACCTATTGACTTCAGGACAAGGGAACTGGGTGCTAAATGCTATCTCTTCCTGGGTTTTAGGAGTCATCCCTGCAGCACTCTACTGAGCAGCTGTTTTAATCAAATGAAAAGGCAAATTTCCTGAGAATTTACATTTCACCACATCCAAATAAGCTGTGTAACAGAGTTGGCAGACAATCGCAGGCACTACTGATCATCTGAATCAAGCCACTACACACTTCCACATGCATGGGCCTAATAATCAAAACCAGATGGAAGAAAGAAAGATGTGCTGACTTCTTGACAAGGAATCCAAATCATGACTTCCCCCTGTGGCACTATCATTATACTGCTTTACTGTTACACTCCCATATTAAATAACTTAAATTCACTTTAAGAGGAGAAAATCAGATTTTCTATTGGCAGCACTAGAACCTTTTTTTCTCACAGTAAATGCCACAGCAGGTCTCTGCAGCATCTCAAGTCTTCCTGAGGCAGCTGCACTCGCACCCACAACTACTAACAGCAAACTATCACCACGCTAAAAATAATCTACACTACCACCAACCTGACACTACTTTATATTAACTATAGAAACTGTGATCACAAAGACAGCCCTCCAACGTCAGAGACTCCAGTGTCTGTAGGTTTGTGTTTAACTTTATGCAATCTCAGGTGAAAATTTAACAGGCCACTTGTCTCAAGGACGTTATCCTTTAAAAAAAAAATAAAAAAATCACAACTCCTTTGTAATGATTGATGATTTCAGCCAGCTGGAAATGTTGTGAACGACCAATGTGTAATGCTCACTACTATGTAACCTGTCATAACTATGTTTAGTTCATCCACAAGCAGCATTTGATATGAGGTGTGACTAAACAGTCCTCACACTGACTCATGTTGAGAGAGAACTAGTGATTTAGTGGAAGAGAAGATGGCACGGAGATGACCTACCCACGTTACACACTTACACAAACCATACCGCTTTTAATTAATTAGTGTCACCTGTTAGATTCCAGTTCAGCTCAACTAGAAATTAATTCTCAAAAATCACTCCTCTTGCATTCAACAAACAAAATTACTGCAGATCCGACAGCAAAGTTAAACAACGCACTGGTTGCAAGCACATGTAAATTAAGGCGACTACTTGCAGTCGCCTTCCCAGGCATAAGCATTTATTATGCTTTTGATTTTTAACTATGGCATCATTCTCATTCCTAAAACTCATATTCCCCCAAAGAGTGGAAGGTAAAAAAAACTTTCCCTTTTATCTTGCCTTTCCCCGCTCTCACTTCTGCTTGTCCTTTAATTTTCCCCACTCTTTCTTTGCCATTTAGATTTAAGAGTGAAGTGCATTATTCACCAAACTAGCCGCAAAGCTATCCCACCCTTCATCTTCAGTTCAGTGCTCTCCAACTCACAGACAGTCCCCATCAGGTTCCCCTGTCCTGTGCAGAGGCAGAGATGTGGGCTCACTGTCCCTCTGGCTTCCCTCTAACCAAGTCTGGTTGAGTATTGGACAGATGAGCGGAGCGCCCAGACTTAGGGGGGCTGGTGGTTCCCTCTACAAACATGTTCGGAATGTCCTGGCCAAAGTAGATCTTACTGTTAGCTGCTATGGCCTGGTACTTCATCAGCTCCAGGTACTCTGGGGTTAACTTCAACTGTAAAGATTCAAAAGAAAGACAACAGTGTGTTCATGATTAGATTACTGTCACTGTTCATGACACTACTGCTATGAATCTTAATGTGACCTGATGATGTACAGCACGGCTAAACGTGAATGTAACATTGCTGCTGGCTCAGCTGAGGAGGATGTGGTTCCAAAAAAGGAGTAAATTCAGTAGTGTGGAGGAGGCTGATAACATCAACATTCAGAGAAAAGACCTGAGGCGCTACAGCACACAACAACAGCCACACACTCCGACGCAGAGATGATAAGACGAGTCGCTTCACGGTTGGAAGGGACAAAGCTTAATTGATCATGACATCAGAGTAATGCATGAACGCACTCAACAAGCACATTCATTGAACATGCTCATATTTTGGTTAACAGGGAGTGAATGCAGTTTGCAACTTATGAACTCTCGGAGCAGATAATGACGCTCATGTTAGGGCATCTGAGGACTTACAGCACCCGGCATGCCAACATGACACTTGCTGTGTATGTTTCTCTCCTGTTCGCTGGTGCAATTACAGCACGTCAGACAATGCAGCTACCAGTTCTGCTGAAGCCAGTTCATTTGAGTTTAAGATAGAGTTTTATGAACAAATCAATACAGAGTCTACCCCTAACAAGATCACATTTTTATGCAAATTGTTATGCCGCCAGGTCTTAAACATCAGCCATGACGGCAAAAAATCTGAAACGGCACATCGAATTGAAGCATCTGACCAGTCTTGGTAAATAGTTTGAAATTCAAACTATGAAACTAGTTTATTTTAATGTGTGAGCTGATATTTGAGCTAGCTCTTCTGAGGTGTGAACATGCACGACAGTGAGTAACATTATGCATAATACAGTAGGTAATTAATCGAAGCAGCTCATTGTTATGTCACCCCCCAAAAAGGTTGGGGAAAGTGAAGGGAAACAACGCAGTCAGTCACATGTGGATGCCGAAAAAAAAAAAGCTGCTGCAGTTCATCACAAGTCAAAAGTCCATAATTCCAACATGGAGTTACGATCTAAACGCATCCCAGTACATCTGCTGGGGGGAAACATGGACGCACGTGGCAAACTGATGTTTATATGTGGAGTCTATTTGCTTCACAAGCACCTACAGAGGACCTACATCAGATACCAAAGCACCATTAGTGAAGACAAAAAAAGCATATAAAATAACTCAACTGTCTGGATTTCAGGGAGTCACCAGTTTAGTTCGATCTTCACCAGCTGAACACGTTTTCCCCAAGTATGGTCTGCACCTAATCAAAGTTAGCTTAAAGTTTGATATTGATCAGCTGGTCTAAGATGACTAACGTCATTACAGCAAGTCCATTTGCACCAACAACTCTGATGAGAGAATGATTTCAGCCACAGCTCTGCCTCTACCACCACAGACAGAATACATGTGCTGGCTGTGTAAATCTGACACCTGCTGAAATTGTGTTATTAAAGTTAGATTATTATTACTGTTGTACTATAACAATAATTATACTGTAGTTTGTAGACAAGGCAATTAGATTAGATACTGTATGCGTGTTTATGTGTTAAATTGTGTCACCAGCATTTCGTACCATGTTTGCTTCAGCGAACTTGGCAGCAGTGTAATATTCTGCATCAGCCCGAGCCTTCTCCCTCGCCATGAAGGCAGCATCTGAAACAAAGAGACAGTGTTGAATGAGACAGACACAAAACAGACCAGTCCCTGCCGCATATGGGAACACACATATCCATCTCACAGAAGGAAACAAAAGCAGCGAGGCTGACCCTCTATTTCAGAGATCCTCTTCTCCGTCTCTTTCTCCATCACCTTCTGTTGGAACTGAATCTCTGCTACCTGGGCCACTTTCTGAGCCTCTGTGTGACAGAAAAACATACGAGCTTTAACAGCTGTGCACAAGGTGGAGGAGGATAGTTTGTTAAAACGTTAGTGACTGAAAAAGGGAAACAGCTAAAACTAATGCAAATGCAAACCTAGTTTGGTGGATTTACTGTAAAACACCATCACATTTACCAATAATGGCCCTCTTCCTTTCAGTCTCGGCTTCCTTTTCCACCACCCTCTGAGTCTGAGCTGTTATTAAAAGACGAGTCTTCTCCGCTTCCCTGCATATACAACACACATACACAAAAAACAGTTCTTGCAAATATCTTTTTCTTGTGTGGTCTCATTTGAACTGAGTGGGTGGGTAACAGGCGAGAATTTAAAACATGCACTAAAACTTGGTTAGTAAAGATTTACAAACTCACATGAGTTCAAAGTTCCTCCTGATAGATTCAGGGATCTTTGGCTTGGTAACACGGACTGCCTTCATCAGGATGTTGAAACAGTGCAGAGGGGGGACAAAGAGAAAAGGAAATTGACCCTTTGCTCACAATCAATCTGCCAATACATTTTACAGAGAGCTGGTTATCAGGCTAGTTAGGCTTTTTAAGTTAAAATTAGTCTATTGGTATCTGTTCAGAATTTGAGTGGAAATCATGTGATGATGTGATGGTCATTGTCTTAAAGGGACACTTTGGATTCTTTGAAGTGGGCTTGTATGACATACTTATCCATATTCAGTGCATTAGCTACAGTAGATGTCTGTCTGCACACTCACAGTTTGGAGAAGCGGAAGTTCCACTTCGATACTCCTGCTGCGGAAGCTAAGCAATGTACTGCTGCGGACAGGGGCAGCAGGAAAATGTTTTTTACCCACCTGAAAAATTCTCAAACACTTTATGTGTACACTATTTTAAGAATATTTTTGCCTCTTAAACTTTCCGTCAGACAGCCACTCCGTTAGCGTCTTCAATTCCCTATTTGTGTTCTTGTTGAAGCTATCAGACTCCATCAACAAAAACAGTAATTTTGGCTGGCTGAACACAGGAGCTCCTGGTTTAATGCTACCTCAATCACTTAGTTTATCTGGATTATTGTGGGACTTTGGTGAATCCAAACCAACCCCTTAAACTCCGAAATCACACACTAACAAATAAAATAACTGATGGAGGCAGCAGTAGATCAGCTGCTCCTGTGTTCAGTGACATTACTAAATTACTGTTAAACTCAACAGAGTCATGGTCTGAAGAGAGAGATAAAGGCTTCAGTGAAAATATTCTCAATATAGCGTACACACAGTGAATGGGACTTTTTGAGGTGGCTAAAATACCTTTTGCTGCTGACCCCCATCCAAAGCAGTATATTGCTTAACTTCCGTGTTGCACCCCAGCCTGCAACTCCAAACTGAGGGCGTGCTGACTGACATCTGCTGTGTGTAATACACTGATTATAGATAAGTAACTCATACAACCTCACTTCAAACTATCCTTTCAATGATGTCTTTCGGGCCACATGTTTCAATTTTAACCAGTGTCATTAAACAGTTACAGAGAGTAAATTGTTATTGGCTCACAGCTCAAGCTGGATTTATAGTTGCCGCAGGGGGTTAATGTCAGTTCCACTACACATACTGTGCCTTTGCTGTAGGTTTTGATTTATTATTCAATATTATATTTCACCATTTGATAGCACCAACACAATACTGTATGGATGTATTGTGCTTTCGCAATAGTATATTGCCTGGAGTAACTGTGTTTCACATTCATTCATGTGAGCTGCTCACACACAGTATAACTGGAGTTAGATTCAGGTAACTTATATTTCGCCTTGTCAAATTAGGAGGCTACTGCAAATACTACGATGTACAATTGCTGTTTACTTTCTTTCATTCACCGTGACAGAGAGCTGGCATTAAATTGAGTAGATGGTTTGCAGTATGAACAGCTTTGCTCGATGTGTGATACTGATAAAGAGAGACTGCTGAGTCTTTCTTCGACTTCCTTAATGCTGTCTTCACTTTGAACAATTTGCACCAGCATCAGACACTTGTTGAAGAGAACACAAGCCCCCTGAGCTGACCAATCACAGTTCTTGCAAGGACAAGTGGTATCTCTAGCTACAGCTAAACTACAGCTTATACATGCTTAGGCTCTGTGGCTTCATCATAACCCCAGTATGCACAACTACAAATCCAGCTTCAGTCTTCAAAAGCCTTTGCAAACATGATTTGTATTTACATTTTGTAACTAGTACACTGCCACCTTGAGCAAGCCAGATTCTTCTGGCTGTCACTGTAACTTGAATCCAAGTCTTTCTATTTACTATGCACCTCAAGTCATGCCTGTATGTGCTTAAATACCTGTATTGTAAGTCCAGGTGCCATAGCATTAAGATCTTTCTGCAAAGCAGTCTTCAGGTTTTCATCTATAATGTCTGTGAAACAAAAAACAGCCATCATTTGAATACACAGCATGCTGTGTGACACTTTTTAGGAATTTTAAGAATGAACATGCAGCACAAGTTGCCGTCTATGTATCGCATTAAAATGAAACAACACTGCCTTTTTTGTTATGAAAGCAAACTCACCAAACAACTCAATGTAGACCTCTTGTAGTGTGTGTACACTGCAGAACTGGTTGAGTTCATGGTGAATCTTGTTGAAAATTAGAGTTTTGTCATAATCAGCCGTGTAGTTCCTCACAATTTCCACCACTGCAAATACATAAACAAAGGCAACAGCTGTTGTGAGGCCGGGCAGCTGGCAGGATTTACGTTTCACACGGAACTTTAGCAATAAAGGAAATCAGAACATGTTGTACCTGCTGTAGGGACCAGCATGTTAACAACTTCTATTCTGTCAAAGTAGATCATCACACCGCCACTGTGAAGGAAGGAAATATCTGTTACAAACACAATCAGTTTTATGAATGGATGAATTCCTTAATAGATACATCAATAAAACTCATTCTTACCTTGTTCCACAAGGCACATTCTTGATCTCATCAGTTTGGAGAGTAGTCTGAAACACAAAAACCCAATGATTTTCTTATGATCTGATGATAATAAAGATTGTTCTCCTACTATGCAGGTCCTTTCATGAACATGTATCTGGACCTAACATGTGACATGATCATTTTTCCAAGTTGTATGTTCCTAGTTTAAAAAAAAAAAAAAAAACCTACTACGCAGATAAAGTAGTGCTTTCTTATTTCAAATTAAACTGTTTCAATAATGCACACAATATATATAATACATTCATCACATTAACTTGAACCTGATACCTGTAAAAGTTCCTTCTTGCCCTTAGAAATAGTAAATTTGACATAATAACCTTAATTCAAGTTACGTTTAAAGTATACTATGCAGGATTTTACTCAAAACAATGTATAAACTCATACAAAAGTAATGCCTCACAATCATTACTACACCACTAGAAGTGTGTGGTGGTGTATTTATCTGCAAAGAGCCTGCCCTCTGCCCGTATTTTCTAATGTGCCCAGGACGTTTATGGGTAGAAGCTACGAAGCTATGAAAATCACTGACACAGCACTTTAAAAATAGCTGGGTGAAACGCCAAGTGGACTTTCACTTTCATTGGCGATACTTTTTACAAACAGTAACCAAGCATAATATACCGTTAAATTAAATCATAAGATGCAGTTGAAAGCTCAGGAAAAAGCTAGTAAGTGGACACTGAGTTAAGATTGTTTTAAAAAAACTTTACTGTTAATGTTCAATCTCGTATACAGGTTGTGGCTACTACGAGTTTTAAAAAATATTTTGCCTTTCACATTTAAGGAATTTCACCTTTCACACAAACAAAAGGTGATACATGATCTATGAATTTCAGAAGTTAAAAGTTAAAAAAAAAACGTGCTGTGGTGTTGGTCACAGCTAATGACAATCCAAAAAAATTAACAAGTAAAGGCTACAACCTTCAAATAACAGTAATTGGTCAAAAATATCTCTCAGTGGCATAAGCCCTGTAAAAAAGGTCCGATATTTTTATTTGATTATATTTAGTTTTTCATACCAAATATTGCGTCTTCATTAAAACAGAGAACATCTTATGACAAATTCAAATGATTTTTTGCTAAGCATATTTAGTGGTAAAACTATCAGTGCATAAGCTTGGTGCAAAATAAAGCCACTGCAGCCATGGTTGAATGGCAACTGTTTGCATGCTGCAGTTGATGTATTTATAGAAGATCCCATTCTAGTTTTCACGTATCAGCAACTTCTGGCTGACTCTTAGATTGCACATGTCTCTGCTAAGAGGCCAAGCTTCAGAGCTGAAAGGTAAGTTTACCTGCACTGATCTGTAGGTGGTAATGAAAGGCAGCATAATGTGGTATCCAGGACCATTGGGAGAAGTCAGCAACGCCCCACCCCTGAAACAAATACAAACAAATTATTTGGTCTGACAACCCAACATCAGATTACCTGCTGATTATATTTAAGGAGGGTGGACAAAAGAAAAGGACTGAAACGTGTTTATTAAAGTATAACAGTCATTTACTAGGGTGTAATTATGTTTTTGTTGAATAATGTTGCATGATATCACAGAGTGTTGTTATTTTGTCCAACTCATGAACATAGTCATCAATTACAATTTAATATCTACATCGTGTCCCATATTTTAGACTGTAGTGCGATGTGCTCCTCCATTTAATTTCCCCCATGGTTTAACTTCCCTGCAGGGACCAGTAAAGCTTATTCTTAATCACTGTTGTGGATCAGTCTGTGTTGCATTTCATTTTGTACAAACACTGGCACAGACACGCTTCATGTCTAGATGGTGCCACGCGTTGCAGATGTCTTTGCTTGCTCCTTTCGTCAAACACTGTGTGTATATTTGTATAGATTTGTTTTCTTTATTCTTCCTTATATCTTTAGCCTTATTTCACATTCGTGTATTTATATTTTTCACCTTCTATAACTTGTGTTTAATTGTTAAACAACATTCAGAGTGGAAGGCAAGGAAAAAAATTCATTGTACATGGAAACTTGTTTTAATTGTGCATATGACAATAAACACCCCGACTCGACCTTGACTTGACAGAACTTGTATGACCATGCTGTGTAATGATGTCCTCTCCTTTTCCTCTCTTTGGTCGAACAGGTTTGGAAAATGCGCACCTCAAAATGTATTTGCATCATTATCAGGTCAGGTCACAGGCCTCTTACGAAAGATAACACACCATCCACATTCTTCACATACATTTGTTATTTCTGTCATGCAGGGATATTATGGGTCAGTGTTCCGATACCTGTAGTACACGGCAAGGTGTCCTTCCTCAATCTTATGAATCGAGGAGTGCAACAAGATGGCCATCACTCCTGCTATTGCTCCAAATACTGCCCCTACATGCGGCATCGTCATCCTCACTAGTGCTCACCTACAGCAGGCAGAAAAAGAAGGGTAAACATACTGAAATATTTATACAACACCATGTATCAGGGTACATTTAAGCCTGTGGAGAGACCTTCGTTGTTAATTGTCAGCAGCAGCACATTCAATCCTACAAACTTGTGGTTAGGTAAACCTAGCTAAAACTAAAGCCATCTCACCGACAGCCCTACAGTAAAGCCTACCTTCATGAAGGTTTTAATGGTCGGCTCCGATGAAACTGTTTTGGAGGGAGAGGTGTTTAGCAACTTTATGGTCAAAAACTTTATGGTCTTTGAGACTGTAGTTTGTGGAGCTGTCAAACTGCATCGCATTATATTGAAAGGTGAGTCTAAAACTGTATCTACCTGCAAATGGAGTGGACAAAACATCACAAAATATTGCATATACTCCTCTCAATAATCTAAAAGAGGCAGAAAATGCAGTTTAAAGCATTTGTACTGAGCTTTGGCAAAGTTAGCATGGAGTGCAACTGCAGAAAGACACTGTAACTCAGGTATTACAGAAGTAGATGTAAAATATGGAGCTCTTTACTGCATCATCATTTGCAAAACAAAATTTTGTAAATGCTCTGCTCTGAAATGGTTGCTGGATTGTTAACTATGTGGTTTGTTTGATAAAGTAAAAATAAAACATTTCACATAGGCTACAAAGGTTGTGATACTGTACATACACCTTGGCATATTTAGGTGACTGTGTCAATTATCTTCACCAGACTGAGGCTCAGTTAGGAGTTGTATGTATCCTGGCTTTAACACAGGTGCACCCTAGCCAACAACGTTAATTGAACGCAACCTATAGTCATTCAAAATAGTTCCCTTAAACCTTTACGGGCTTCTGCAGCACTCTTATGGTTTATGTGTATGTGACAGCAAGTTTTAACCCTACAGTGAATGCGTTATGTCATGCTGAGCAGTGCGTTATCGTTGACTGCTTCAATTAGAAAGTGCACTTCACGAGTACGTTAGACAGAATGAAAACGCTAACGCTACACGACTAGCTTGTAGAATTAACGTACATGTACGGAAACTCTTTGTCAACGCATGAAGCGACGTGTTCGTACCATAACTACGTGTCCTTCAGTATAACCCTCATACTGGACGACTTATTAAATTAAATTCACCAACAGCAAACGCTGACACACCATTCGCTTGGGTAACGTTAACCTAGCTAGCCGGGTTAGCTAGCGAGCTAGGATTCGGAAGTGTGCCACTCTGCCCGTTTCTGGTTAGCTTAATGCTAACATTAGCGTGCTAGGCTGCTAGCGCAAAGCAAACGAGTTAACTCACCTGGCACGACGCTGAAATACAATTATCAGTAAGCGAGCGGTAGTAGAAATGACTGGTTAATGATAAATGAAATTACCACTGTGTCGAACCGTATCCACCTCTGGTCTTATCATTCAACGTCCCATCCCCCTCACCCCGCCTCCCACAGGTTTCACTCTCGCCTTTACTTGTTACATTATGCTGCCTTCAGGTGCTGTCAGAAATATTAGCGCTATTATGGCAGTGGTCCAACTGTTTGTTTAGTGCAAATAAAATAAAATCAGTCAGTCAGATAATCAGATAGCAATGATGTCCAAGAGCTTTAATTCTGCCTTGTGCTCATTTTCAACAGGGAAACACAGATTCCAAAGATTATGTATGACTACATGATGCATGTGAGTATTTCACAAGATGTAAACCTAAATGAATGTCTATGGGATAATGGGACAACATCTGATGGTAAATGGGGAATTGTTCAGTCTGGATCTGTTTCACATTATATATATAAAATTACTATGTGGGCTTAAATACAAGGCTAAGTAAAAATTAAAGATGCCACATGAACTACTACTGGTAAAAAAAACACATCAGTGGTTTAAACAGAGTCATCTCCATAACTATGGTACTTAAAAGGGAGCTATGGAATATTATGTACACATTAGTCACATTATGTGTCACATCGCACCATTAAGATTAGTTAAAATAAAATTGAAAAAGTAAGGCAGACTGCCATGTGCACCACCTCATTCAGATGTATCTAATACTTTTGTCTTTTTAAATCAACTTTAAGTCTTTTCTTAAAGTTAAATACATGGCATGTCAGCAGTTAAACTCTCATCTTTGAGTACTTTGAATATCAGAGATTATTCACGTCAATAAAATAAGCAGCCTGCAAAACTTAAGTCGTAGTGTATGCAGTAAACCCCCTGCTAGCACAAACAATAGCACCCAGAAAGCTCACATACATCTGTTAATCTCACATTCATGAATACGCTCATGCTTAAAAAAAAATAAAAAATAAGAAGCAGTTTTATTTATTTAAGATCACCCAAATAGATTTACATAAACAAGATTAGTAGTTAATCTTAAATCCACTACACACCCACTGGTAGCTCTTGCAAAGTTTCTGGTCACATGAATGTTAAGTATAGGTAGTAATACCACAGTATAATCTGTCACAAGAAAAAGCCCTGCATTTAAAATCTTATTTAAGTAAAAGTACAGAAATATTAGAGTACCAAAACTGAAAGTAGGCTACTCATTATGCAGAGTGGTTCATTATAGAATGATACACTATATAACTGGATAAGTAAGGTGGAGCTACTATTTCAACTACTTTATACATTGCAGTAAGCTTAATACGTAGTAAATACATCATCAATGATTTATATTTTGTATTAATAATCTGAATCTGAAAAGGTAACTAATTGTAACAATCGTGACTAATGTTGTCAAATAAATATAGTATGAAATGAAAAATACTCAAGTAAAGTAGGCCTACATGTGCCTCAAAATTGTAAGGTAAGGTGGAGTAAGATCCCCCCCACCCCCTTAATTTATTTCCTAACCTATATATGGCACTAAGTCTACTCTCAACACATTATGTATGTATGGAATGGCCGAGCTCCAATGAACGGTGACTTTACATCTGTTGCATTATGGAGATTTAGTCCACCAGAACCAATTTAAACTGATCCAATTGTTGTCACTGGAAAACAGTGATCCATGAATTTATATTAATTTGTTAAGGGACATCCTGCCTCAAAATATTATTTAGTTTAATTTATCTAGTATGTAACGTTAGTCATATGTGACTTTTATTGTTTGTATACATTTAGCAGTAGTATAATATTGTAGTTTGAACAGCTTGCTAGCAACATTCGCTAGCTATATAGCAAGCATTAGCATTGCTTAGCATTTTTAGCAAGCTTGCTGGAGGAAGACATCCTGAGATGAAAATAATAGGCCAAAAGGAAAGGCTACACGACTTTACATAATCCATTACTGGGTTGGGACTTTAGTTTGTTTTATTTAGCTAGATAGCGCGTTTTGTAGCTCGGGAGGGTCAAGCCTTGGGCAGGGGGCATCATAAAAATGTTTCAATTTATAATATCTAATAATAATATAAACGTCTCTATTCTTTATCTATCTAAACAATTACATTTTTTAAATTGATATAGTAAAAGTAAGGCAGACTGCCACGTGCAGCGCCTCATTTGGATGTGTCTGACGCTTGGAGCTTAACTTCCCTACGTTTCTCCTACAAATGGGCCTTGAGCTTGTTTGGAGGTTCTAGCAGGGGAGCGCAGCTACTGGTACACCGATGGATGGTCGTCCGCCGAGGGGGACCTCGTCCTCATCGACCGAGCGCGGGGCTTCGGGAGGGACACACATGGAGCGGTGAGGGAGGAAGGGGACACCCGCCTAGCCAGCCAGATCAGCCGAATCAACCCTAGCGATCAATGGGGTGACAGATGTCGCAGCCAGATCGCCCTCACATCCAAAATTTTCTTCATTGTCGACACGTATATATAGAGGAGAAAATAAATCCTGTTCACTATCACGGTGTCTGAGTGAAACATTTCATGACTACGTTTACTTCGTTTCGTATACGTACTACACGCAAAAGACGTAAACGTTTCAATCGACAGGGCGTGACGGCGACTTCTTCGTCCAAGGTGAGCAGTTATCCGTTTTCCCATGATGCTTAGCGACAATATGTTAATAAGCAACGTTTCTATTGGCTGAACCAACCGTTCGCAGTCTTCGGATGTTTTCCAACGTTTACGCATGCTCAGAGCCGTAGAATTCAAGAGTTCTGCGCATGCTCCGCCCCAGTGTCACACAGCTCACTATACTGTGTATGGGTGTTAAGTGCGATAGGTACATGAATGCCTCTGCTCTGTGTGTATATATTATATCTTTAGAATTGCTGTATTTTATCTCTTACCGAACAATCAAATAAAATGAAAATAAACACAGTAAAATGTTACGAAAAACTAAATTTGCAAACTGACTGCGTGGCACACAGATTAACAGCTGCAAACTTAAAACAGCAGGCATAAAACTAAATAGTGGGCATACTGTACATTATTTATCATATTTAATTGAAATAAGCAGCAAATATAAATAAACCCATCACTACAAATACAATACTGCTCGAAAGTATCATATTTTATCACCTTTATGCACAATTTGTGTGAAATTAAAAGGAAGTAAATGCAACCATAAGATACATAAAAGGAGGTAAAACCAACAATATTTTCCACTGAAATGTGTTTTTTATGGACACTTATAAAGGAAGCATATCTAAAAATACTTGCAATAGACTGTTTAATAAATATACATTTTTACTATCAGGATGATTAACATTTAGGGATTAAATTATTGTGGTGTTATTTCAGTCTGGTATTTACCTCAGATTGTGAATAGACGATGCACTATTTACCAGTATATTCACTTAATTATAAAATGCTTGCCTGGATTGCCCAGATAATGGTTTAAGTGTGAGAACTACACCTTAAACTATGTTTACTTGACGACGAAGGCCAGTGTATGAGTAAAACAAAACATGGAGATGCAGCATTGCATACTTCAGAAACTTTATATTATAAAGAAATATTCCACCCAACAAGATCAAGCACTTAAGTTCTTCCTCCTTTCACAAATATTTTAAAAAAGATTAAAGATAATATGCTGTTGAAATCAGTGACATGTCCTGACTAAACGCACTTCGTCTTATTGTGTCTGTTACTTGATTCTTGTCGCTTTCGATTATATTATTTCATGCAACTTACTGTTGTTTTGCCTCCGTGCTGTTTGGATTTCAGCAGCTGCCAGAAGACTTTTGAACCCAGGGTCTTATAAACAAGCAATTTCCTGTGTGTGTGCAGGCAGTTGTCTGGTCCACTGTGTGAATGTAAATAACCACAAACTTAATTCCTTCGACAGTAACACTTGCAAAGAAAAGACAAAACATGGTATATGTGCCACACATTTATAAAATTTATTCACATTCCACCATGCATAGTTTCTCAGCAGCAATGTTTTACTCTAATCAATACTATCAGAAATATAAATAGGTCTTGGTTACAGCTAGAAGTCAATAATATACATTTAAGTTAAAACATGAATAGCTTACCATATCGTGCTGTTTCACATGTTGTCTTACAGCATTACATGTATGTTAAAGACACGGTATGGAATCACAAAGCTTTCAGATAGTGTAACTCTGATAAGGCACTTGTTTACAGTAAATTGTCTTTGACTCATAACAGAGTCTTTGGTCAGTCTCTACAGCTTCTGAGCTTGGGCTTTCACTGCTCCGTACTGAGTCCAGCTCCAGTCCTGATCCTAGAGAGAGTCAGCATATTAATATTATACTACTTAACATAGCAATCTCAATCTACCATCAACTATCATGCCATTCTCCCATCTTACAACTTGACATTGATTAGGTGAAACAGTATGAACTAGTAAAGACTGAATGTATAGTTTTAAGCAGGAAGAAGAGTGGACATAAAAACAGTATGTGGTGACTGATAATATTTCCATCATTTAAGTCAGTCAGCAATCATCAGTGAGTTGCTTTAGGGATCTTTTTCATGCATGAACACACTCCTTTACTCCTGTATACATACCATAACACTTTGCTCCATCTCCTGGGTGGCGTCTTGCAGCAGGGAAGTTAGTTGACTCAGATAACGCTCATTCTCATCCAGTAACTGGTGAACAGTTTCACTGAAACAGACAAAAGACTCTAAATTAAAAATATGAGGGTGCTTTCTAGGGCGTACCACCTCTGACCCAATGACTGCCAGGGTTTTGCAGAATAAAATATGTATATATATATGTATATATATATATATATATATATATATATAAAGATTACAGGGGGTCTACAGGAAGCATTGCAGGAAACTACAGAGTAGTATATACAGGGTCCCGTGCAGAGGTACATCATCGTCGTCGT